ACCTCATAGATCCTTTGGAAATGAACGATAAATCTCCCTAACAGGGTGGCCAAAATGCTGGCGATATGGACGAAAGGTCCCTAAAAATAAGCTTTGTGATCGAAACTATTTAACACATTACTGAATATTGCAAATTGATTAAAAAATCAGTATAACCATTTCTGGACGGAGGAGGGAGCAAAGGATATTGTGAACGACATAACCTGATCATACTCAATCTTGGTTCATTTTTTCCGTGTTCGTGGTTGCAGCAACGAAGGTCGGTCCATTTCATCCATTTGCTTATGCTATTAGTCGACGATCTCCTACAGATCTCCTACCGTTAATAATGTTGGAGTTACTGCGTTGATACACCTTATGCCCTCTCTGGACAATCACCCCTTATTTTGCTGAAGGACAGTTATCGCTTGACTATGTTTTTCAGAGAGAGCAGTGAATGGCAAGCCGATCCAAAGCCCATTCAAATGTTTTACTGAATATTCGCAAACGCTGCTACATTGCAGAAATTTCGAGAAAGCCGTGGAGCACCGCCCTGACACTAGTGAAACCTCACCTCTTGCTTGTGGTAAGGAAAGAGTAGGAGGCGTAGTTGTTTGCAATGATTACTATATTGAGTAGTTTCAATCAGTAGCGTTTCAATGATCTGTGAAATTCTGTGCATTCAATGGCATGGTGGAAAGAGCACTGTCTGAGCACAGACCGGTTTGTGTCTATGCTCATTCACCTGTGTCATTGTTCCGTTGCTCATCCGCCCATTCATGTGCAGTTTTTCGGTTCCAATACGAGAAATTGTTCACAATAAGACGTATATTCGACCAATGTGTCAGAAAAGGGAGTATCCTCTTTACAGTTTCCTTTTCAACTGAGATACATATCCATGAAGGACAATAAAATTATTATTTTAATGGCTCTGCAATGTCGTTCATTCACTCTGCGTCGAAGTCAGCATAGCTGTGCGCTGTTCAAAGGTCGTTACTGGTCATCCTGAGGAATGCCAGTCTCTGTGACGTAGAGCAACACCGGTGTGACTAGTAAGGTTCGACGAGCAAATCTTTTTCTGAACAAAAACACTTAACAGGTTACGAGATGCATTAAAACTACGTCCAATATCCTTATATAATTATCACTGGCAACTACTGACAATCCAGATAATGGCACTAACGTTCTTAACTCTCGGCCTCACCTACCGTATCACTTACACACTGCGTACGTTGGTTAAGTGAACCTGGTTAGTTTCGTACGAGCCTTGACTGTAGGTCTTAAGGAAGACGCTAACTTTCCAAGATCCTTTGCATTTCATAGCCATCCGGTGACACTAACTCTTTCCGGTACCACTACATCCAGACAATATCATATGAGCACTGCAAGTCACAAAAATTTTCCAAAATTTTTCAGTTCCGTTTTCCTTCCAGGATGATACTCAAGTCTGTTCTATGTTCAGCATTGTTTCGAATGAGCAATTCTAATACAGCTACAGTACGTCCCCCTAGCTAATTCTTCAGTCAACAGAGAACCACTCAAATGGCAGCACTTCAACTTAATAACAGATACGATTTCTGCATATACGCCTTCTAAAATAGAAAACGTATGCTCAGGTACGCGAGAGCATTTTCAGATTTTCTTTATCATTAGAAAAGGCGCTGAATCAAATTTAGTTTTAACGTCATAAAGTAAAAGATGAATGATAAACTAGAATCTTCGAGGCAAATTGAGAGCCACTGATCGAAGTCGTAAAACTCACCTCTGCTGGTGGTTAAAATCGCGACTGATGCGAATCTGTGAGAACTAAAAAAATTTATGATGCCTTCTATAGTGGTATTCAAGACTTTCGCATCTTTGTGCGTATACGCCCCAAAACAAATCTGTTCAACTCGATGTTCCAATCTCGAATGACCATTGGCTCTAAGACTTTTGTTCTGCGATTTAACTGAAAATAATTGGAATAACGTATAGTGACATCATCCGAATAGCAAAATCAGGGATAAATGTATCGGATGAGCCTAGAATAGTAGCTGAAAAATTTGGCTAGTTAAAACGCTACATGCATAAAACGTATACATGGGCACTGAGCACAGATTTAGACACGTTTCTTGTTCAAAAATAATGAATGAAAATAATACTAAGTCATTTAACATATTATTATTTCAAAACCTGTAGATATAGAGGAATAGGCTCTGACGACAAATGGTTGTACTGAGCAACGAACCAAGAAGTTGTAGTCAGAGCTAGACTAAGAAAGTATCTTTATCGTACACGGAAAACCGGCAGTCGTTACAATAACCCTTCTCTCAGATCCAAACCGCGGCCAACACAGAATCTGCAGAGACCTACTAGAATCAGACCTGCAGTCGCTTAAGAGTATCTCGTTCGCGGATGCAGCAGAACATGCCTATAATTGACTACTGTACATGCCGTTCAGTGGACATCGATACATCGAGCTTAACGGCCATGTCGTGGACTTAATCGACTATGATGCAAGTACAGAAAAACATGTGGCAATAAATTCCTATATTGGATTGTCCCAATAGGAAAACTCTGTTGAGTCAAGCCTTTGCTCCTCATTCATTTTTTTTTGAAATTTCAAATCCTAATTGACAATTTTTCAATGTTCTGAGGAGAACTCATATACTAAATGAATCATCAGATGGAAGTGATGTCATGACGTAAGGGGTAAGATTGAAGCCTTGGGCCCAAATTCGAATGCTTCACTCCAGAAATCATTAGCTCAACCACTAATTCCGTTGAACACAGATTCATCCCATCTTGCTTCTATGACCTTTCCATTGTCTATCTGAATCATAGCTCCTTTGTTCTCATAGGCAGTAGAACAGACGACATAAGTAAAGTGCGTCAACGAGTGCCACTAGCCACTAAATTCCGCCTTCTCGCGCTGCTGGTAAAGCAGAAAAGCACGACCAGAAAGAAATGGACATAATTCTAGGAGCTGATTGGACACTGACGCAGGACAAGTAAAAACGTGTCTGCTGAAAAGACTTGACTGACGAGATGCAGGAACGAATTACATATCCCTGAAAGCTCATTGATCGCACGCAGCTTCTGAATGACATGGAACGGTCACTTGTTTACGTGTGTGTTGAATGCAAGCAGTCGTTTGTGTACTAAAGAACCAAACCTTACGAAGTCAAGGCCAAGCATCACATATATAAGCAATCAGCCAAAAAACGTGTAATAACAAGAGCAGCGTGTCGTGGCATACTCCTGCCAGACTATCGTCACGATGCATGATGCCTGATGCGAATGCTAATAGCTGTAACCCGCCTTGATTTACATGCATGATGGCTGACTATCCACGGGGTGATAATCAGCACGGGGCATAAACCCCATTGTTATTGTTATACCTTGAAACCGACACAATATGAAGAATTATTCCTGGCTTCATGCGTTAGCTCATTTACATAATGCAAGGCCTCATGTGAATATTTATAAACAACATCAGTCGCCCACATGGTTGAATGTTTGATTAACAGTTGGTCTGATTCTTCCAGCTCTCCAGAGGACGCTTAGGAAAGCGGAGGCTTACACCGTACAATCGATCAGGCGAAATATTACTTAATCGAAAGAAATTTTCAGCGTGCAGGAACGTTTAACATTTCTGTAATTATGAAATTTTGGTATTCGATGGTTATTAACGCGTAAGCGCGACGAGTTCCGGAAATTTTGTTATACATATGTCCTAAAAAAGTAAAACAGGCCAGTCGTAAATGCGCATCGTTAGTCGCTGCGTCGTAAGTAAACCTTCGAAAGAAGTAGCGCATGTCGTTCGTTCGCGCATCATGCATTTGACCCCTATTTCACACATGTCTAACAGATCGTTTCGTCAGCTTCACGTAAAAGAAATAAACATGTATAAATGGCAAAATCCATCTTTCAAGGTTGATTATCAGATTTGAATGCAGACGATGAAGGGCCGCTATCCGTTGAAAAGTGTATGATCTAAGATTCAGATGCTAACACGAGGCTTGCAAACTATTTCTACCGAGGCTTCACCATCGGTCAAGCTCAGTGAATAATTAGCCGTCATCCTGTACCTCAATTCAAGTTTGTGAAATGCAAATAACGTTCGTGGGAAAGTTGACGCATCTCGGCATAGCATTTACGAGTGATGACTAACGAGATATAAAAATGGAAGTCGACGCTGATTCCTGAGGTAGCGAAACTGGAGCTGAACCGGAAACTGCAGGATGGCTGGTTGAACTGCTCTCTACCGATTTAGCTAAATCTTCGGAAAGGCACATGTTTCTTTGTCATGCCGCAATCTGGCACGAGGCGGTTCGCACTGGACCTGAAGCTTTTCGCATGCCGTACTATTTGTTCTCGTACTGAAGTCATTCAATAAGAAGAACAACTCTCGGCAACTGTCGGCTTTTCCTAGCAGACGTGGGCGTTAGAATCAGGTTAGAAATTATA